AGCACATAGCACTGGTTCACAAACAATCAAGTGTCCATTGACCAGCCAAGGACAACAGTGGTCTTATGTGCTTGATGGGCGTTTGGACGTACAAGGAGGGTTAGTGTGGTGACATGGTTTGTCATCGCCAGCTGGTATGGTGGGCATGTGAGGGCGAAGACGACCCATTGTTCTTGCACCACCAGAACAATTGCACGTTTCAGAGGGCCACACTGTCTTTGAGGGACAACGCACCCCCCTGATTGCCATGAGGGGCCGATTGCATGTGACACAAGAGTACGCAGAAACATTTTTATAATATATATATATAACTTTTGAATGGTAGTGTTTATGACATAAATTCGAAGAAATTTGAGTGGACGATAACATATAGGCCTACCGTTATGAAATAGAAGAAAACAGGAAGTGTTACACTTTTTAAAGCATTAAATAGTCCCAGTCCTTCCCCGACAACATGTGCATCATACTAAACCGGCCAGTTTGGATCAATATTTTCTATTAATGCTCTATACTCTCCAGCTCAAGGCCTTTTATTTTTATTGTCTTCAAAATACGGACACTTTTATTCCCCTTCCACGTCAGCTCTCAAAACTCTCAAATGATCATAAGGAAACTTGAGAAAATCGATTTTCAGATAATGCTGTGTTGTTGCTGCTTGAGATTGTCCTTCAGAGACGAGTGCAACAGAGCCTGTCATTGAGCTCTGTACAGTAACACACAAACATATATACACACACACTCACTTCTAAAACAGCCTTTACCAAAGAGATATTTTACAATAATGGAGAATATGTTCCTCTATATTTTATTGACAGTTACATTTGCCTGTTATTGAATTTCACATCACTACACAATGTGTTAAAAAAAAGCGGTACTTTGCTATAAAGTTTCCAGGCTTCTTTCCTTTTTTTTTGCTTCTTGTTTGTTCAAATTTGATTTTTTTTATCTAATGGAATGTTCTCACGGAATGAGCATCATTAGAATGCATTAAATTCCCACTTGAAGAAAATGTCAGAATTGTCCATGTGAAGATTGGAACTCTACAAATAAATACTCAAGTTAGTTGTCCTTGCCCATTAAACATTCATTAATTAAAGCATAAATGAAACGAATAAAGCTTACCATTATGTTACCAGAAACTGTACTTCACTAAATTAATAAATACATTTACCAATAGGGCTGCTGCTTAAATTAATAAGGCTGATCTGCCAAAAAATCAATAACTTTTAACTATAACAACACAAATTAATGTTTATTATGAAATAAAATTCAATTTTCTATGAAGTGTTGGATGACTAAATAACACTCTACAACTTGGCCCTGCATCTAACTAAATTAGTAAAATTTTATTAATTCTTAATCATCTAAAATGATGATATAGATAGACCCTAGAAATGTTTTAAAAGCTATTGCAGATAATAAAAGCATTTTGATATAAACAGTCTTTCTTTTATGCTGTTTTGTCTCCCCTGAGAAAGCTGTTGTCTTATACTCTTTGTCTAACACTTCTCCTTCTCACCTTAATCCATTTTACACAGATAGAAATAGTTTTCTTGGCAATCTAATATGTGATATGTGTGGAGGAGTCGGACTTAAAGCTTGTCATTGTGAATGATTGATTGATGGTGCTATTAGAATGAGTCAATAGCTGATGTGTGTTTAAGAGTTTAGGTGAAGTACATTAAACTCTTCTTTCTATTGTCATCCAGAAACAGTTTACAAATCCCAAAAGCATGCTAAAAGAATGAGTGTCTTGTCAAACTTTCACTCAGGTAATCTGGTTTTGGCACTAACATTGGATTCGGGGGTTGAAGGTGAATTACCCTCTAATGTTTCTTTATGTCGCGCTCTATCTAGATAGATTGATGACAGAATGAACAATATTTGTTTTTCTCTGCGTGTAAATTCTTTCTCCCAGGCCCTAGTGAAAAGCACAGGCTGGCATAAAGTGTTAAATAAGGCTCTTAACAGATCATTCTGGGTTAAATACAATTCAGCATAAGAGGCTCATAAGAGATTTTATTTATGTTTATATTTTTTTTGTTTAAATATATATCTGGATAGATTTATAATAGACTGAATAATATTTGTTATTCTCTGCTTGTCAATTCTTTCTTCCAGGCCCTATTGATAAAGACAAACTTGCATAAAAGAGTTAAATATGGCTATTCTGGGTTAAATACAATTCAGCATTAGTGGCATACCACAATTGCGACATAAATATTCTTTATGTTTGTTTTAGTTTAAATATATATCTGGATAGACTGATGACAGACTGAACAATATTTGTTTTAGTAAAGTAATTATTAAGTTTCATTATAATTGTAGGTAAAAATGAATGAATGAATTGATTAATTAATTAATTAATTAATAGTTGCTGTGTAAAATGAAAGATGAGTGAAAATTATTGTCTAGTTACAGATAATAATCTTCCTTTGAACCTGAAATATTCCTTTAAGGAAGGATTTCGAATCAGAAAAGGAGAGATGTGATGAGATGGGCTTTTGGAAACAAAAGTGAAAGTCTGTCAACTTACCTTGAATATAGATTACCACTATCAAAACCTAATTATACCTTTAAGATCTGCTGCCAACTGCCCCTGCAAAGCAGAGCAATGACGACTTACTTAAGCATAACTTGACACGCTAATGGCTCCAAGGCTGAATAAAGACAACCCAAGTCCATAAGAGCCTTTCACCTTCACTGGAGGGCGGTCAGACAGAAAATATACATAAAAAAACTTGCCAGGAAAGTAAAAAAAAAAAGAAAAAAAGAAGTGGGTAGAGTCGCCTGTGTTTTAAACTATAAAGGTTTCCACGGCCTCCTGACAGACCCCCAGTCATCAGAGCTAAGCTGGCGGCCATGTTGTAAATCACATAATGAAGTCTTTCCCTACAGGCTTTCACCATCTTTGCTGTTTAATCCTGCTCTCAGAGGGGCAACATTCAGCAGTATAATAAAAGACAAAACACTCTCTCCTCTAGCCACACAGTTTAACCTGCCCTGCAACAATGAAGCTACACCTACAAAGAACCTCTCGTTCTTCACTTCAATGCGTCCATCTATCTCTCCCTTTCTCGGTCCCCAGCGTGTTTTTTGTCATTCGCAGTCTCCTTGCAGGCATTTATCACCGGGTCACGTAGAATGAGAACAACCCTGGACTCAGGCCAAGCACAGAGCGCAGAGGGGTGAGAGAAACGGCTGGGGTCACGACAGTATTGATGATCAAGTATTTGATCATCATGAGATTATTCTGCTTTTTATCCATAGGTTTATTGTTAAAATCGAAATATATGAGATAGATATTTTTGTTGAGAAGTTATTGGGTTTGCATACAAAGATCACATGGGTGTAACTTGTCTGTATTGTGACAGAATAGAGTCTCTGTCAATATGTGTCACGTCAGTAAATGCTGCCCCCATGAGGATGATTATGTTAATGTCTCATTAATTTCTCATAAGACACTTAAAGGAACACTGCTTTAAAAAAGTTCTACAAATTAGAAATAGTACTTTGAAGGACAAATATGTTGAAATCATGTACACTCACACTACTGGAATATGAATACTCTAGTCATATATAAGCAAATTTATTATACAGCATCTAGCAAACATCAATACAACATCAATCACCTCACTGGAGAAAACATCTTGAGATCACATGACCAGTCAAAACTTCCTTTATCTTGATAACATTCCTGTTTATATTTGTTTATGTTTTCGCTTGTGAAACAAATAAATTGTGGCTGACTGTGTGTGCGGATATATACACTGAATATTTCTCAGGGTAGGTCTCGATTTCTGAGAGCCAATTTTTACATAACCACATAAAAGGCCAACACATATTGCAATTAATCAACTGTTAAACTACAACATGTATAAAACAACTGTGACATCCTGCTTCCTGACATTTATAAGAAATACTGCTTGCCTGAGGACACCCTTCAACCATTTGGCTAGTTCACACTTGCCTGAGTATACCCTATACAAAATATATAGCAATATGATTATATTGGAATAAAATTAAATTTAAGAAACTTTTGAACTACTAGTTTTTAATAAACATTAAAAAATCACTGCTAGAGGAACCACACCAATTGTGTATTTGGACGTCTTTCTCAAAACCTTAGTTATTGAGACATCAGTTACAACTTACCTGAGTCAACCAGCCCCAGCTCCCTTGTTTGTGAAAGCTAAGTCCAACATGATTTACTGAATATTTCAGTCTCTTGAGGTTGTTATACTGTGCAGTATTTTATTTTAAACCAGAATATAAAATAAAGCTGCTACAATGATTTGACTCTTATGTCACACCTACCGTGAAATGTCTACTCTGTTAGGACTACGTTAGTTTACTGTATTTGAGCAAATGAAGACAGGTAAACAAAGCACTGCCCTCTACTGGTGACAAGTGGATAAAGATGTTTTAGATCAGTAGTTCCTGTACATTTTTTTTTACCAACGACGCACCGGCTGCTAAATCTTCAGTGCAATTGCAAAAGTAACCGAATTTTCCTGAGGTGTGTGAGTTATTTGTTCAACAATGTTGTTCAACAACGTTCAACGTTGAATGACAATGTTGTTCTCGCCATGCTGCCGACCAGTGTTGGGCAGTAACTAGTTAAAGTAATAATATTACCTTTTGCAGTAACTAGTAGTGTAACTAATTACTAATAAGACTTAAGTAATAATATTACATTTACTATCCATAAAACAGCTATTTACTTAGTTACTTTCGATGCCTCAACCCCTACTGATTTAAAGTCCAACAATCCAATAATTCCTAGATTTATTTTCATAATTTTCACAACTTACGCAGGCACATGAAGTCAACAGTGCGGCAGGCATATGGAATATGAAAAAGCTTACATTCGGCGGATGGAAATATTGGCATTAAATTGACTTTGTCATGAGAAAAGATGACCTGAACACTTATGTGTAAGTTGTGGCATTATAGAAGTTGTGGCATTACTTTACTCTGGCATTACATGGCTTGCCCACCCACATCCCTCTGATCTCGATATAAATTGTATAAAATATTTTAAGAGAATGAAACATTTTCTTATGAACTTACATGATTTCTTTTGATAAAATATTAAATATAATCGTATATGTGTATAACAGAGAAATTATAGTTAGCTTCAAGCTACACATTACACTTAATGAGATTAGCACTTAAACGTTACTAATAATCACCACTGAGTGTTTGTAATAACTTCTGACTACGATCCAATGTGGATTTTGGTCAAACGATGAGGCAGAAATATATTGTTAGTAGGCTAACGTTTTAGAAGAATTTTATGGGGAAGATATGCAACTTATGTGGGGCATGAAAAAAAAGTAATAGTGTAACTAATTACTGTTGCCAGAAAGTAATAAGTAAAGTAATAATATTACTTTTGAAAGGAGTAATAGTAATGAGTAATATATTACATTTTTTGAGTAACTAGCCCAACACTGCTGCCGATTCACGACCAATAACTCTTGAGCTGATTCTTTTTAGTGAATCAAAAACATGCAGGGCGACCGGAGTAGTCCGATTCCTGAAAAAATGAATCGGAATGCCGATTCTTTTAACAATTAGCTGCAAGTTTTCATTATTGTGATGTTCTGAATTTAAATGAAGAAGGCTTTGTGGCCATGCCACATAAAAGAATACTCTCTGAAAAGCTATACAGTAGATGTACACACTTACACTCACGGATCCCTGCATCATTCAAACAGACAGAGATCATGATCCCATTTAGCTAAATGTGTGGGCTGTCTTCAGCCATCAGACTCTCAGAGTCAGACATTACTGATGAGGCTGTAAAAGGCTAAAGACACAGAGCACCGGAGTCCTCTGTCTTATTAACTGTCAGTTAGTGCGAGCTATTTTATGAACATGAGCATAAGAAAGAATAACTGCCAGGAGAGTTGTCTTAAAAGAAATGTTCGTCTAAAAGTTATAATTCTGTCATCATTTAGCCTACTCACTTTCATGTTGTTCCAAATGCATTGGCTTATGTTGTTATTTTCCCCATGTAACAGAAAAAATATACATTATTGTTAGGCAGTTCATTTAATGGAGCCTGTCGAGATACAAATGGGACCTAAAATCCATGTTTATAAAATATATTTTTAGAAGACTCTGAATACGGTTAATAGAATGGCTCGTAAATACGAAAACGTTTAAGACTTAAGACTTGTTGTTTTTTAACTAATCAATTCAATGCCTTGGTCATAACACATAAAATATGCTACATTTGTCGCCACCTACTGGGGTAAATATGCAATATGAAGAAATGGTCACTGAATAAGTCACTGGCATGAATCTCCTCATCACTAACGGCAAAACAAAAATCTTCTTTTGTGATGAGTAAATGGACCCTTTTCACGAGACTGTGATGACGCGTTTAACGGTCATCAGTATCGTAAATACTAGAACGTTTTTCATATTTGTATTTTTTTTTTTAATGTATCTACATTTATAACACTATTCTTTGTATTATATCACCTTTGCATCAAATTACAAAAAAACAGTTAACGCTAATGCGAGGGGTGTTTCTAATGCAGCGTCTATGGGAGGGAAGGTAAATTTGACATCGTTCTCTCTTCTGACAGCTGTACCGATTTTTCGCTTCTGAGTAAACTATTAAGCCTACTGTAAAGCACATCATAATGCAAACCATGTAGAGAAGTTGAAGCAGTTGAAGTGGGTGAACATCGGCAGTATAATGGCCACTGAGTGTGAGAGTGGGTGTCTGTATATGATTCTGTGTAGGAGGAGCTCAGCTTTGCCTGAAAATGTTGGCAAAAGATGGATCGAGAGATAAGGCAATTTTCCAGTTGAGAGGAACAGAGAGAGAAGCTCAAATCCCCGGAGAGAGAACAGACAATACATCGCAACACAACACCGTGAAACTGGTTTTGTAGTGTTTCCAGAGACTTAATTCAGTCTGAGAAACAAATGAAACTTATAGAGACCTACGTCGATACCTTGATAATAATGATTATTGAACACCATAAATTAAAGGACACACCAACAGATGGCAGTGTTTATCTGAGATTTAAATCGATAGTTTAGGTTTGTTTGTTCTAGTTCTGTCATTGACCCCTACTGTTCGACTCCAAGAAAGCGGATTTTAAAACAGGTCAGTTTACAAATCCTTTGAGTTTATACTCTTTAAAGGTGAAGTGTGAGATTTCTGCCCTACTGGTGTTTTATGAAAAGTACGTATTTGATATGAAAGTGCAAAAAATAATGCCAAATTAGTCATTATTGAGATGCAGATAAATAGGCTAAATACGTGTTTGGGATAGGAGACAATCTTTTAATATCTAAAAAAAATTACACATTTCACCTTTAAGAATAATCCAAATGACTAAGTAAATGAGTCAAACCAGTTACAATTGTTATAAATCCCATAAAGCAACAATTATAAGAATTAACATAATTATTTGCTGTAAATAATCTACTAAGGGGAAAAAATGTGATATTGCATCCCCTCAACTAAAAGCTACAAGTCAATTCCCAATTATGTACTGAAGATTTATATTGATTCACCTGATATGCACAGACTTGCACAGATGCACCTTCTCCTTTTTCGACAGTTTTTAAATCGCACACTGTTCTGCCAGTTAAACCACATATAGTGTATTTGTCACTATTGTGTCTGCACTGCATTCTATATATGTCTTCTCCACTGTATTTCATCACATAATCCCACGTGATGATGCCATGTGACCCAAGTTTGACATTACAGCTTTAAGATCACTTTCTTTAATATAAAGCTAACTGTGAATCAGCACTTGCATGGTGTCCCCCATTCCCAAAAATCCTGTGACCTAAGAGGAAAATATGGTGGAAAAGAGAAGTGCACAGTTTGGTTTGACACATACTGTACCTGCTCAAGGACATTCTGTATCCTACACTGCTTGATACTCTTCACCGGATATGCAGCAGCAGTCCAGGTCACCTGCCAAGAAGTTAAGCTGAGCACACTCAAAAGCAGCTTACTGTCTTTATCAGATCATCTGTGTTTATGTGCTTGTCGGCAAACCAAAATACCCAAAGAAAGTCGCCCTCTTTACGGCCTTCTCATTTTCCATAGTATTTCAGCCATATATGCTGTTTCGTTCCTAAAAGCATATTGGCTTTGTCTACACTTTGTGTAGTGTGAGTGATATAGTTACAGTTTTAGGCTGTGTCCCACAGCTCTCTACCTCAGGTAGGTGTGGCCAAAGTTTGGTGGGCGGGGCTCGCTCAGCTCACAGTGGCAACAGCCTCTTCATTTGCCTCCTCGTCCACTTGATTGCCTTTGCCCATGGCCTTCATCTTAGCCATGATGTCAGTGAAGGTCTCTTTGACAGTTTTCTCCAGGATCCAGCCCTCGCTCTCACTCTCAGGGTCTTCTGGGTTGACCAGTGTGGACCCGGCTAAAGACGAAAAGTTTTGCAAATATGCTTTAGTTTATTACTTCCGTATTTCTCCTGTTAAATTTCAGAATGCATGTGACAAGTACGACTCAAATGTACAGTAAATTAAAAACAACATTTACAAAGCACTGTGAATGTTTAATTTTACATCAATTATCATTTCAAAATAAAATAAATTATATAGGCATATCTAAGCCAGAAATTTTGTAAATAAAAAAAAAAAAGGCAACATTCTTTTTTTAGTTTGAAAACTGTGAATACTCACAAAAAACTTCTAAAATTCTGCATCATAACTTCAATGTTATTTATTATCAATTAAATACAATTCATATAAATAAATTAATTAAAAAAAATTAATATAGCTCATTTAAGCCACTTTAGAAAACTTTTCATTGACTTTATAGGTTAGGTGTTAAACATCAAAAGCCATTAAATAACTCTTTGATATTAATGCACAAGCGTTCGGCTAGTAATTTCAATGTCTATTCCAAGACAATCTACCAGGTATTCAACTAAATGAAAGGGACAGTAAGCTCTGGGGGCAAGAAAATGTGATCTAAGAAGATTAGCGACTAAATCTAAACTGGCTAACATGCCTGATACCACTTATACTGCAAAGTGACCCCTGCGAATCACCCATTCCCTCCCCTTACTGTAAATTGCTAAATAATTTTGTAAAAATAAATAAATAAAAAATAAAGTCATTATAAAAACTTCCACAACAAACTATTGTTATCATTTAAAAGTTTTAAGTGTCTTAAATTAAATTTCTCTCAACCCGTTATCTGATTGTCTAAACTATATCTGAACAACATGAAATGAAAAGAACTGAAAGAAAACAATGTTTACATTTAAGTGTCACATCCATTAAGAAAAAAAAAACACTCACTCTTTGACTTCCTTGGAGCTGAAGTCCAGGTACCGGTTGCTCACCCACTGGATCTCGAACCAATCTTTGTAGTTGTTGTTGCCACAGCAGCGAAACTCTATCTGCATGAGATCCAGAGTTCTCTTCATGTAGCAGCGTCCGGGAGTATCGGAGTCCTTGTAGTACTTCATTCCATTTTTCAGGCCCTCAGCAAGTGTAAACTCTAGAGGAATGCGCATGACAAAACACATCACCGCTGTGACAATGAGGAGGAAGTTGAAGAACAAACAACAAATGAGAAAGGGCTTCAAAATGGACTTCCATTTCACAAACTTGGTGGAGTCGAGCGAGTCGTAGCAGATTTTGCCCCCACAGGCATTGAGAAAACATGCCAAAAGACCCACACCAATTAGAATGTTGGGTACAAAATGACTCTCATTGTTGTCCATAAGTTCGCTTCTCTTGCGCAGTTCAATTTTAAAGAAAAGGCCCATGCTGAAGACCAGCACTCCGGCCATAATGGAAAACCAGTACATGAGCCATAGCATCTGGGCCAGCTTCACCCGTTTCTTCAGGTCAAACTTTACCTTCATTAGAGCCATGATGATCAACTAGTTAAAGTCCAAAAAAAAAGTCCTTTCAGAGTTTGGTGATCTCCAAAGACAGCTGTGCAATGTAGCTTACAGAAGTTGAACGTTGAAAGTACGTTCAAGGCGCAATGTGTAATCCATTCCAGTAAAGCGAGAACTTGTTAGCTACTTTCATGATGATCTTCGCACCCATAATAGACTAAGTCCAACTCATGTTCTTCTAAAGATAAACACCAATGTAATACATTATCTTTACAATCTTAAAAATGGATTTTCATCTCAATAATTAAAACAGCAGTGTCCTCAGGTACTGACGCAAATAGTGGTGTCCCTCTATCTGCAAAGGGAGGACAAAAGCCAAGGATCCAAATGATTAAACACAAAGTTACTGTACGTCATCCTAAACCCAGCTAATCACCCTCATCCCATTTACAGAAATCCCTGGCCAGTAGATGAGCCTATCTTTAAGCTCCTGCCGTGGCGTGTGATTGGCCACACGGTATGACTGGCATAACTACAGAGACACCAAAAACCAGGAGGCTAAGACTTAAGACCACTACACTTCTACTTCCAGGGTCTTTGAGTTCATGACAAACACGCCACTGTTTGAGAGGATCTCTACATTTCTCGAAGTTGAAATATTCATGGAACTGATGATAGTCAAAACCCTAACACTTTACAATTTGTTAACATTAGTTAATGCATTAGCTAACATGAACTAAGAATGAGGAATATAATTCTACAATGTTTATTAGTCTTTGTTAATGTTAGTTAACACAATTATTTAGTGCATGAACTAACATTAACAGATATGACGATTTTAAGAATTTATTAATGTTGAAATGAACATTAACTAATATTAATAAATTCTTAAACATTAATAGTCTAGAAGTATCGTTAAACAATGTAAGCATGTTAACTAAATTAGTCAAATGAGTCCTTATTGTTAAATTTTTACCCACAAAACAATAAGTCAAAATAGTAAAAAAAAAAAATTAGCCTACAGAACTTCATATTCAGATAATGATTGTACTTGTATCAAAGACTACAGCCAAAGGTCGCATTATTTACTGTATTAGAGTACCCAAATATAACAGACCACTTCTTGCAATTACATTTAAGAACTATCATTTTTAAAATATTAAAGGGGTCATATGATGCGATTTCAATTTTTCCTTTCTCTTTGGAGTGTTACAAGCTCTTGGTGCATAAAGAAGATCTGTAAAGTTGCAAAGACTAAAGTCTCAAATCCAAAGAGGATCAGCTTTCACCGTGGACGAAGTGGAGTCTAGCCCCGGGTCGTCACATGTGGTTGCCGCAAGCCAGCCGGACGCCAGAGGCAGACAAAGTACACAACTCCATTACTTAAGTGAAAGTACAGATACTGCTGGTCAAATATTACTCCATTACAAGTAAAAGTTGTAAAGACAGAT